ACATAGAAACATAGAATGTGACGGCAGATAAGAACCATTCGGCCCAACTAGTCTGCCCAATTTTCTAAATACTTTCATTAGTCCTCAGCCTTATCTTATAGTTAGGATAGCCTTATGCCTATCCCACGCATGCTTAAACTCCTTTACTGTGTTAACCTCTACCACTTCAGCTGGAAGGCTATTCCATGCATGCACTACCCTCTCAGTAAAGTAATACTTCCTGATATTATTTTTAAACCTTTGTCCCTCTAATTTAAGACTATGTCCTCTTGTTGTGGTAGTTTTTCTTCTTTTAAATATAGTCTCCTCCTTTACTGTGCTGATTCCCTTTATATATTTAAATGTTTCTATCATATCCCCCCTGTCTCGGCTTTCCTCCAAGCTATACATGTTAAGATCCTTTAACCTTTCCTGGTAAGTTTTATCCCGCAATCCATGAACCAGTTTAGTAGCCCTTCTCTGAACCCTCTCTAAGGTATCAATATCCTTCTGAAGATACGGTCTCCAGTACTGTGTACAATACTCCAAGTGAGGTCTCACCAGTGTTCTGTACAATGGCATGAGCACTTCCCCTCTTTCTACTGCTAATACCTCTCCCTATACAACCAAGCATTCTGCTAGCATTTCCTGCTGCTCTATTACATTGTCTGCCTACCTTTAAGTCATCAGAAATAATCACCCCTAAATCCCTTCCCTCATATGTTGAGGTTAGAACTCTATCAAATATTCCGTACTCTGCCCTTGGGTTTTTACGTCCAAGATGCATTATCTTGCACTTATCCACATTAAATGTCAGTTGCCACAATTCTGACCATTTTTCTAGTTTACCTAAATCATTTGTCATTTGGTTTATCCCTCCTGGAACATCAACCCTGTTACATATCTTAGTATCATCAGCAAAAAGACATACCTTAACATCAAGACCTTCTGCAATATCACTAATAAAAATATTAAAGAGAATGGGTCCAAGTACAGATCCCTGAGGTACCCCACTGGTGACAAGTCCAAGCTTTGAATATATTCCATTAACTACAACCCTCTGTTGCCTGTCACTCAGCCACTGTCTTACCCATTCAACAATATTGGAATCCAAACTTAAAGATTGCAGTTTATTGATAAGCCTTCTATGTGCAACAGTGTCAAATGTGAGATTTACAAGGAGGGAAAACAGTACACCTCTCTGAACAGTGTCTGGGAGGCTGTGGTTGCTGCTGCACGCAATGTTGATGGTGAACAGATCAAAACACTGACAGAATTCATGGATGGCAGGCTTTTGGGTGTCCTTGCAAAGAAAGGTGGCTATATTGGTCACTGATTTGTTTTTGTTTTGTTTTTGAATGTCAGAAATGTATATTTGTGAATGCTGAGATGTTATATTGGTTTCACTGGTAATAATAAATAATTGAAATGGGTATATATTTGTTTTTTGTTAAGTTGCCTAATAATTATGCACAGTAATAGTCACCTGCACACACAGATATTCCCCTAACATAGCTAAAACTAAAAACAAACTAAAAACTACTTCCAAAAATATTCAGCTTTGATATTAATGAGTTTTTTGGGTTCATTGAGAACATGGTTGTTGTTCAATAATAAAATTAATCCTCAAAAATACAACTTGCCTAATAATTCTGCACTCCCTGTATAGTTTGTTATTGAGGCTGACTACCTCCTTTTCTGAGAGCTTAATCTACTGCTGGGGAGTGAGGCTGGGGGTCCTCCTCTTCCTGGGTTGCAATCTGTTATTGGGGAGGTAGGACGACTCAGGGCTGCCATCAGAAATGTTGGGGCCCCTGACACAGCTCAAGGTCTGGGCCCCCCGGTGCCTGCACCCGAGTCCGCCCAAAGTGCTGCCCCCCCCCCCCTCCGAATCCGCCCACAGGGATGCAGTGTCTGCAGGACCGGTGCAAGGATTTTTGCCGCCCTAGGCAAAAGTAAAGTTTGCCGCACCCCCATGTGACATCACAATGCCCCACCCATATGATCTGCCATGTTAACTAACGCCAGTGCTGCAGTGCCGCCGTGTTTACATTAAAGGCCTGCAGGGACAGGCTATAGACACCAGAACCACTACATTAAGCTGCAGTGGTTCTGGGGACTATAGTGTTTCTTTAATGTGAGGTAAATTAGAGATTAGTGCCACGAATAATATACTAGATTGCCTACTTACAACCAGATGAGGATGATGATGGGCTCTGGCTGCCGTCTGGCTCCACTGGTCTGGTGTACAACAGGCTCTCTGGAGGCGGTTTGTAACTGTGGTCACAAAAATCACTGTTCTGGGAGAACGGGAAGCAGCTCCATTTTTTTGAGGGCCCTTTACACAGCTCAAGGTCTGGGTCCCAGGGTCCACCCTCATGTTCCATCAATGAGTTTGTTCACAGGGAGTGGAGTGTGTGTGTGTGGGGGATGTCCTGATGTGTGTAAGGAATGCATTGTGTGAATCTGTGTTTGTATGTGTAAGGGCTGCAAGATGAGTTTGTGTATGTATATGATGCAGTGTGTGCCTCTGTAAGGGATGCATTGAGTGTGTGTAAGGGGTGCATTGTGTGTTGCTGTGTGTAAGGGATGCATTGCTTGTGTACGTGTGTCTGTGTGTAATGCATTGTGTGGTTTTTCTGTGTGCAAGGGGTGCATTGTGTGTGACTCCCCCTCCCCCCGTCAATTTCCTTCTCCCCCCCTCTCCCTCCAATTTCCTTCTTCTCCCCCTCCCTCCCTCTCTCCAATTTCCTTCTTCTCCCCCCTCAAATTTCCTTCCTCTCCCCCCTCCCTCCCTCAAATTTCCTTCCTCTCCCCTCCCGCCTTCCCTCAAATATAATTTCTCCCCCCCTCCCTCGAATTTCATTCCTGTCCCCCCCCCCCCTCGAATTTCATTCTGTCCCCCCTCAAATTTCATTCCTTTTACCTCCTCAAATTTCATTTCCTTCCCTCCCCGACACCGGTGGCGGTGGTAACAGTTGTGAGCACTCCTCTATGTGCTTCCTCTTCAGCTCCCTCTCGCACCGTACTGATGCCGGAGCCGGAAGATGATGTCATCTTCCGGCTCCGGCATCAGTACGTTGCACGAGGGAGCTGAAGAAGAAGCACAGAGAGGAGAGTGCTCCCTCTCGCACCGGCACGCCCGCCGGGTGTCAGCAGGGCCAGCCTCTGGGGGGCCCTGAGGTGACCGGCTGCTGGGCCCCCCAGGAGAAGAGGCTGGCCCAGTGGGTACAAACCAGGGTCGCAGGGCCCCCTGCGACCCGGTATGTACCCACTGAATGTGGGGCCTGGACGACCTTAGCAGTCCGGGCCCCCCAGGACCGCCGGGCCCATGACAACCGTTGCGGTTGTCATGCCCTGATGGCGGCCCTGGGACGACTACCTCCTCTTCATGGGTTGCAATCTCCTGCTAGGGAGGGAGGCTGGCTACCTCTGCCTCCTCTTCCTGGAACCTCACCTGCAGCTATGGAGGGAGACCAGTTACCTCCTCTCTCTGGGTTCTGCCACTAGGAGGGAGGCCGACTACCTCCACTCCCTGGGATGCAATCTGCTTGCTGGGTAGGGAGTTTGGCTGTCTCCACCTCCTCTCCCTTGGTTGTAATCTGCGACTGGGGAAGAAGTCTGACTACCTACTCTCCATGGGTTACATTCTGCTGCTAAGTTTGAAGGCCTTACCAGGCCATTTACTTCTGCATCTCGTACTGAAACTCTGAATCATCCGAGGAAGAGGATGGCGTACTTTCCAGATCCTTTCCAGATCAGTCACACCCCCTCTGCTGATGGATTTGCTCAGAAGAAAGCCAATCCCTCTGATACTCCTCGTACAAGGACACTGCACAGGTGCTAGCACTATCCCTCTACATGAATCCCAGAATATGTGCAGGGATCTTCCTCTCTGCTACCAGGGTCCTTTGAAGCTTGAGTGGGGTCTCGGAGGACCTCTTACACCAGACCAGGCTGCAGTTAATTTAGCTCTGGAGATCCTCTCATAGTCCTAGAGACAGAGCACGCGAAATGTCGGAACCTCCTTTTCTGGGTGTACTCTCACACAAAATATATCAGAGTAGACACACAAAAAAAGAGATATGTGGAATAGGAAAAAAAAAATTCCAGGAAAAAGAGAACAGGACTTACTGCGCATCATAAAGCTGTTGCTCAAGCAGTATATTGAAATCCACAAATAAAGTACAGAATTAAAGGCTGTGCAAAGTGCTACTACCATTTCTTTGAAACAAATATTTCAGGGTAATTCTCAATAGAAGGGAATAGACATCATGCATCGAGAATGGGATTACCGCAAAATTATCATCACCGAGTGACCTCACTGTCCAAACAGCTCCCTGATCGGAAAATCCACAACCGAGTCACAGCGTGTTAAAGTTTTACCAGGTTTTGGCACATATTACAAGGGATCCCTGTTGTATTGCTTGTCCTACCAGACAGTTTATCCATTGGGCCAAGTTTTCCCTATTAATTAACATTAAGTCCTTATGTGTTAGTTTAAAATAGCTTATTTTCTAATTGCATAAGAAGATTTTCATCTGTCTTTAAATTATATTTATCTCTTCATAAAATATTTTTATTTTGTATTTTTTGCTTAATTTTTGAAGAAAAAAAAAACTAGTTAAGCAATGTTCTAGCTTGTTTGAGAAATATTACAGGGCTTCATGGTTGTAGAATTTTCAATAGTTCGATTTACAGAGCATTTTTTTCATGCAGGCTGTGTCAGTCACAGCTAGGGGAGGTGTAGCTAGGGCTGCACTAACAGAAACAAAAGTGATTCGTCTTCTAAATAGCAGAGAATTGATCAGTGAAATTGCAGGGACATCCTCTATACACATTTCATTAAGCTAAATAATTTATATCTCTTTGAACCCGCAACTCCCTTGGATTTAAAGGTTATTCCGGGTTGCGGCAGAAAGTCTATTCATGTCTTTTAGATGTACCTGATTTTTTTCAGCTCCTCACTAAATGGACGACCCCAGACAAGTGAAGGTTTGCTTAGATCATCAGTGAAATAAGACAAATCAAACTGGCAGACTGGTCCTCTCAGCAGTCCAATGATACACATAAGAAAGCCAAACAGAGCTCCACCGAGTCCAACCAGAGCAAGTGCAATGGACATGAACATCTAGGGTTAAAATAAATAACATGTTTATTTAAATCAGATAGTACCATTACATTTCTGTTTTTATGTAAGTGAAAGTTCCAGAATATAAGTGTTACTTTTGCCCAGAAGTGCTCATTTTATTTACCATTGAGTTGAGGCTTCTGAGAGCTAAACATGTAACTGTAAGTTCTAATCAGTTGTTTGGAATTCTGCAGATGGGCCAACTGAGGCTGACAAAGCACATGCACTCCATTATGACAATCATGACTGCCCATGAAGTGATCTTGCACTAGTGTATGGGCTTAAAATGACTTTGACCAACTTTAACTCTTAATTCACCCTAAGTACAGTCAAACAGTAAAAATTCTGGACCTTGTAACTAAGAGCTAAAGATCACATACCAGCGTTGTACATACCACCAATGCAGTTAGTGTAGCTGCACCGCGGCCTGTAAGCTGCAGGAGGTCGATCAGTTGACTCTCAAACTTGTGGCCACCTAATGGACATCTCCGATCAATGGTCTGGTTGGGTGCAACGGTCTTTTAACAGCACAACTTGGCCCCTGCAGTCCTAGGAGGAAGTGAGTTAAGGTCACTTCCTCACAGCTAACAGAGTGCCATGCAGGGAGGCAGAAAGAATTGGGGAGAAAGCCTGTACCAGACTCCCAGGCCGTGAGCTTCTACCAGCAGCCAGATTCACTGGACCCCAGGGAAGTGAAAAGATACGGATACAAGAGGGTATTAAACATATGGAAAATATGACTTCTATATGTGTGTGTGTCCATGTGTATATATGTTTGTGTATATGCGTATCTGTGTTTGTGTCCGATTTTGGCAGCACTTTCCAAGGGGTGGCAACTTTAACAAATGGCTTGTTGGGTTAATGTGGTTAGGGGCCTGAGAGCCGGCCAGTTGGCCACCTTAGTGCCCTCTGAGGTGGGCAGCTGAAGGCTGTGTAGGATGGAGGTGGCAGCAAGGGAGCTGTAATCTTCCTGCTCTTCTTGCTCGTCTCCCTCCTGTGCCCTGTAGTGATGTTGGGTGCCAGAATATCACAAAAAAAGGGAGCAAAGCAAGAAGAGCAGGATCATAGCAGCGACCCTGGACGCCGGGGAAAGAATCCACTCCAGCTCATCCAAAGGTAGGGAGTCTCGGTGGGCTTGAATCAAAATCAAAATAATAATAATTTGTGATTTAATGAGAAAATGTCTGAGTGTGTCAGTGAATGTGTGGATGTCTGTGAATGGGTGTTTGTCAGTGTATGTGTCTGTGAGTGAGTGTCTGTCAGTGTATGTGTGTATCTGTCAGTGTGTGTGTCTGTCAGTGAGTGTCAGTGAATGTGTGTGTCAATAAGTGTGTATGTGAGTGAGTGAGTGAGTGTGTGTGGCTTTCACAGTATGTGTGTGTCTGTGAGGGTGTGTGTGTCTGTGAGTGTGTGTCTATCAGAGCATGTCAAATAAGTAAGGGGATGTGTCTGTGAGTAAGTATGTCAGCATGTGTTTGTCAGTGAGTGTGCGTCACTGTCAGTCAATGTGTGAGGGTGTGTGTATATGAGTGTGTGTCTGTCAGTGAGTGTATATCAGTGTGTGTGTATATAAGAGTTTGTTTAGGTCTGTGATTGGGTGTGACATTGTGTATCTGTTAGTGAAAGTGTGTTGCTTAAACAGTGAGTGTATGTGTGTATCTGTCAGTGAGTGTATGTATCAGTAAACATGTGTGTTGGTCCTAAACAGGAAAATGTGCAACCTTGAAAGGAAGGGGTGTAGCAAATTTAGATTAGTGGTTGCCTGAGTTTAGTCATGCCAAGGGCACCACAAAACCAAAATACACCTCTGCCTACAAGGATGGGGAAATGGAAAAGACACACATCTACGACAGTTGATGATCTACTTTTTGGCTGCCCTTGCACTACAGGGGGGCCATAAAAATGTATTGCACCAGGACCTTTTCCACCACTGCATGTATACGACCCATGGACTTTATAAACAGACTACAGGACTACCTATAATGGAGACCATGGACCCTGTAGTTTTCAGACCACCTGATAAATTCAGATTTTCTCATTTAAAGGGACACTTCACAAAATCAATAAAATCACTGTTTAATATATAGACAACACAAAAAACAATGCATGCATTCAATTATGCATATTTTTTTCATTGGGGTTATATTTAGAAACAGCATGGAAATCCTGCAGTTCTCTTGTCTGCTGCCTTTGTAAGTCCATCCCTAATAACTCCAACCAGACGCTCTGTGTCTGTCCATTCCCAGACTTCCCAATGCAGCTCAATGAGAAGTCTTTGCAAAGCAGGTGCTCTGAGCAATTGCTGACTCTTGAGTTTAGCTCCACTGAACCAAGCAAAGCAGGAAGTAACAGGACCCGATGCATGCTTGAAAGTCAGGAGGGTGTAACTAGGTTAATTTATAAAAGTGCCAATTTCTATTAAAATCTATATGTTTTGCAATGTGAAATAAATAGGACACACTCTTCACACATGAAGCTTTTCAGCACACTAAAATGCGTGAGGAGTCTTAAGGGTCCCTTTATATCTTTCAAAAAAATTCCAGTGATGTCTTTTAAAGATACGGTACAGACCAATAGTTGCATTCTTTTTCACTTGGTTATATTGTAACAACCCTGTTAGATACCCTGCATTATTGAGTGGTTTCTTACCCCACAACGGTTGCTGCAACAGCTCGTTCGTCCTGTAGCAATGATGTGAATCGCAGGAAATAGCACCTGTCATAGAAACAGATTAAATACCGTATGCAAAATGACAAGGAACTAACCCAGATACTAACTTTCAAGAGTAACTTTCTAAAGACAATTACTACATTAAGGATTTTTATTACCATATATGTATGTTCTTCTAAAACTATATGGTTAATCACTGCCCACCACTTGTTAGAAAAGCTGTGCTCTTACCAATAGACCACCACCGATAACCCCACCGAGATTCCTCACTTCTAGGGTGATCTGCGTCTCTGCATTTTCTAGATATTCTCTGCTCCAGTCTGGAAAAAAC